CCCATGGACTTTAGCAGCCAATGCTGTCCTTGGGATTTCCCAAGTAAAGATAATAGAGTGATTGCCCGTTCCTTCTCCAGTGGATTAAGGCAAACAGAGATTAAATAACTTGCCCAGGGTCACACAACTAGTAAATGTCTGAGGATAGATTGGAACTCAGGTCTTTCTGACTTCAGATTCAGTGTTCTATTCACTGAGCCACCTAGTTGCTTCAAAGGTCAGGCATAATAATAAACTTTATTATATAGGCCATGACAGAAAGAGAGATTGGTTAGCTTACAGAATTTCTGTCAGCCAAGCAAGCTCTGAATATAAATGTATATAGGTGTACATATACATATATTCTATTATCAACATAATAGCTTTTATACATGTATTCACATATGTATAGCTACACATGTATATATATATATATACACATGTATGTATAGCTATAAATATGTTCATAGTGGCTGGAAAGCAGAAAAAAAATGGCAAGCAATCGAATTACTAATCTGTCATTGACCTTGGGGGAACATAGAATGGCAACTTTGCTGTGCTCGGTGGCTAGGAGAGCAGGGGCCTAGGAAAGAACAGTCAGAAAGATGGGGTAGGTGAACAAGACCGCTCATTTTGTGCTGAAGAGTGTAAGAAGTGCAAAAGAAGCTTGTTTAAAGATGAAGGCCCTCATGCCACGAGAAAAAAGATAGAGGACCCTTCTCTCTCTGACTCTGAAGCCTTGTCTTTTCTTTCTTTCAAGACTAAATTCTTTTTAAGTAGAATGAATATGGAGATAAAAAATTCTTAGAATGCCAGAGATAAAAGATCTTTTTACAATTGTAGAGTGTGTTCAGAAAAGGATACAAAAACAAATAGGACAATTTTGTTAATAATATGTTAAATGTAATATATATCTAAAAACAAAATATAAAAAAAACTAACAGAAGTTCATAATTTCCTAAATAATCTTGTTTTTATTATTCTTTGAATATTGGGATGTTTGCTGATGGTTGAAAAATATAATAAAAAAGAAGAAAATTTAATTTCAAAAAATTGTCTACTCCAACCATCACATTTTCAGAGGAAGAAACCAATGTCCATTAGTTTCAGTAAGTCAAGTTACTTGCCCAAGGTCACCTAGCTAGTGACAAAGCTGGGATCAAAACCCAGGTTTCTCTGCACACAGTAGGTTCTTAATGAATTTTTGTTGAGGTCCTTGGTAAAACTGAAGGTCTCCTGGCTTCTCAGTTTCTTTCCACCACAATATTCTGCCTCCTTCACCAACACTATTTCAAAGGGAGAGAATGAAATGTTCACATACGGGATTTTCTTTTTCATGGTGTTGAAATTTGCAATTGTCACACTGCTGTCATGGGCCCCACCTCCTTGCTCCTCCTAGGCCACCCTAGGCCATCTCTGCCTAAAACAGAGACCATGAAATGCCTAGAATTCAGATACCCTGGATGAAATAAAAGTTGAGCTTCTTCTGTGACAGTTCTTTCTATTGGTATATACCATGTGGGAAGGAAGAGTGGGTCACCAGCAAATGATTGACAGCCCAAACCTTTATACAATCTTTGTTATTCCCAGTCCTAATACACTGATGTTCCCTTGACCCTAGAGTTTGCTGACTCAGAGTCTCCTACATAGAGCCACACACACACACACACACACACACACACACACACACCCTTACATACATCTACTCTGGATGAATCACAGAACATTAAAAATGGAAGACACCTCAGAGGTCATTTGGTCTCAACTGGTCAGTCTGCTGTTCAACTGGGCCCATATAACCTACCCATCCTGAGCTCTCACTTTTCTCTCTTAGAAACACTATGGTATAGCAAACAGAGTGCAATACTAAAAAAAAAAAAGACACTGAGTCTGAACCTACTCAGATACTTGGTGAGCAGTTAGATCCTGGGCAAGTTAATTAATTGGCTTTTCTGGACTTCAATATTCTCATTAGTAAAATGGGAGATTAGACTTAAGGTACATAGGTACATACATAGGTATATTCACACTGCCTCCTCTGATCAAACATAAGATCCTTGGCAGTAGGGATTACTTCTTTTTTTTGCTTTGGTTTGGTTTCTCTTTGTATCCCCCCAGGTTAGTAGTGCCTGGTATACAGTAGGTGCCTAATAAAATTGTGTTGACCTGTCTGAGCTTTAATTTCCTCTTCGGTAGAACAAAGAGCTATTGCTAAATGGTCTTTCAGGTCCTTTCTAGGCATCAACAGCAGTTGCCCCATGGATGGCATGCCAGATTTGGAAACATGAAGATCTGAGTTCCAATCTTGCCTGAGATACGCGCGAGCCAGCCCTATGACCCTAGGCAAGTCACTGGACTTCTATGTGCCTTAGTTTCCTCATCTGTAAAATGGGGATAACAATAACATCTACTCCCAGAGGTATTGTGAGAACCAAATGGGAGAACATGTGTAAAGTGCTTTGCAAACTTTAAGGTGCTACAAAAATCCTCCCTATTCTTATATCACCCTTTAAAGTCTACAAAGTGTTTTACATATATTCTTTTTTTTCATCCTCACCTATGAGGGATGTGCTATTATTATCTTCATTTCACAGATGAGAAAATGGAAGCTGAGAGCAGTTAAGTGACTTGCCTAGGGTCACAGAGTAAGGGTGAAGGCCTGAGGCAGGATTTGAACTTGGGTCTTCCTGACTCTAAGTCCAATGTTCTCTCCACTAAACCATGCTGCCTCCACACTCTGTGAATTATGAAACATCTAGTAACATGGGATTGTGTAGGAAGGAAGGAAACAGGAGAGAAGAAAGGAACAAAGGAAGGAAGGAAGGAAGGAAGGAAAAAGAAAGAAAGAGGGAAGGGAGGGAGGAGGGAGGGAAAGAAGGAAGGAAGGAAAGAGAAAAAGGCAGGAAGGAATAAGGGAAGGGGGGAAGAAAAAGGCAGGCAGGCTAGATGAATGGATACAAAACCAATTTCAACAAAAGACAAATCATTTAGTGCCTATCATGGACACGTATATAACTTTTGGGGTCTCTTTTGTTCTGTTCACCAAGAAAGTCATAGCAGAAATGTCTTTAGAGTCAAATGGACATGGTGATATGTCAACCAAATAGTTCTTTTATGAAAGTGTCTAGAACACGATATATCGTCATGCTTGGAAACTTGTTCTAATTAGGTTCTGTAGTAACTGTACCATCTAGATACCAAGCAGTGGTTCTCTGGAAATGTTGCTGGATTTTGGAGTCATAGGGCTTAGTTTGAATCCCACCTCAGCTACTTACTGACTAAGTGACCTTCTGCAAGTAACTTAACTTCTTTGTGACTCAGTTTCCTCATGTGTAAAATAAAAGGATTGAATGACAGGGTCTCTAAGATCCCTTTCAGCCCCCCCCCCCATCTATGTTCCTATGACCATGTTCTTAGTTTATAGGATTTCTAGCTAGAATAATTTATTCTGAAGGTCACATTGTATCAATTCTTTTCTCTGTTAGTTTTGCAATGACCTTGCCCCAAGTCAGTGGTGCTTTGAGCTGACCTACCAGAACAGCAGAGAGTCCATGAGCACATGTTGACCTGACTTGATCAGTCATCATTCTTCATGATTCAACTTTGACTTATTCCAATCTATCCTCCAAATATTGACCAAATCAATATTCTGAAGGCATGAGTTCTATCCATTGCATATAGACTCTGTGACCCTGGGCAAATCATTTAACTTGCCAATATCCCAGGCTACCTTCTAAGCATCCAAGGTGCAGAACAGGTGCTAACTTGCATTGGGAGAGGCCAGTGAGATCCCGGGAACACAAGTTCTCTCCCTTGCTCACAAATGGTCAGTGGCTCCCAATTGTCTCCAGCATGAAATGAGAAGTCTTCATTTGGCTTTTAAAGGTTTTCAGGATCTGTCTCCTATTTACCTTGCCAGACTTCTTCCGTAAGATTCCTCTTCATGTTCTAACCAAACTAACCAACATATTCTTCCCCTAACTATCTTCTGTCTACCATCTACCACCCATAATCTACCATCTCCCACCCCTGTGCCTTTGCCCAGTCTGTCTTCCATCCCAACAATCACTCCCCTTTGACTTCCACCTCTTAGAATCCTTAGCTCCCTTTAAGGCTCAGCTCGGGTTCTTCACTGAGCCATCCTACCAGTGATGAGTCTTGAAATGATCCATCATCTACTTACTTATCCATGCACATAGGATCATAGAATAGGGATAGGGACTGACTCTGTGATCGTCACAGATTTAAGGCACTCCCAGATGAAGAAACCCTCTATCAAAGCCTATTGGCCTCTTCTCCACAACCTAGGGTCTTAGAGAGTTTTGTAAAGTACTAAGAATTTAAATTATTTGCCCGGGCCACACAGGTGGGATGTGTCAGATGTAAGATATGAACCCAGGTCTTAGCATCAAGGCAGACTCTCTATCCATTTCACCACACTGTTTTCTGGCAGGCAAGAAAGGATCATATATTTAGAGCTGTAAGGCACCTCAGAGGCCATCTAGAGCAACCTCATTTTATAAACACAAAAGAAATTTATAAATTATAAATATATATTTATAAATGCATTGTTGAGGGATTCACTCTGGGTTACTCAGGTGAATCACTCTAGAACAGGGGTTCTTCACCTTTTTTGTGTACTGGACCCCTTTGGCAGTCTGGTGAAACCACTTTAGCACATTTTAAAATACACAAGATTACAAAGGAAGCAAAGTATATTGAAATCCACTTATCAAAATACTTTTTTAAAAAACACGTTTACAAACTCCAGGTTAAGAAACTTTACCATAGAAGAATCTAATCACTCTGAAGGCAAGGACTGTTTCTTTTTTTTTTTTGTCTTTGTGTCCCAGGTGCCTAGCCTAGGGTCTCCTGTGTTTAATAAATGTATGCATTTAATAAATGTTGGTTAGATGAAATTGAATCCAGAAGGTGGTGCACCCTTTCTCACTTTGCCCTTCCTCTCTCTTCTCTCTCCTTCTCCACGTCTTCCATGTTTCCCCTGCCCCTCCCTCCCCCAGTGCATTCCCAAAAGCAGAACAGACAGACCTGCGTCAGGAAGAGCTTAATATGCGCCTTTGCCATGGCCTTCATTATCAGTGTCATGTTGATCGCGGCCAATCAGATCCTCCGCAGCGGCATGGAGTAGTAAGTAGTCTTTCACCCGACACTGTGAACCAAACTCGCCATGCATGTGCATGCCCGGTGGGCAGACTTTTTTCCTCCATGAAACCGGAAAGGGAACAAGGTGGACACCAAGACGCTTTCGGCAAAGGGAACCCGAGGCCGGCAGGACGACCCGTCTTGAGAACCAGCTCCATCTTCTTGTCAGGGACACCAAAGGGCTGTCTTCAATGCTTTAATAGTTTTGTTTCCTAATGCAATAAAATTAAAAAAAAATAAAATAAAAACCCGGGGAGTTCTGAATTCTTGCTTCAGCCATCAATAGGAACTCTGAGGAGAAGCTTCATTTCCATCTGGGACCGACGTGTGGTGGTCTACGCTGGGAGTCGGAAAGAGAGAGAAAGAGATCAGAGACTGAGCATGAGCTGCAGTTACTACTGGCCAACTCCATACATCCAACCCAAAGCTTGGCCAACAGCAGACTCTTCCTGGGGGTGGGCCTATTTTGGCTCCACAGAAGCTGACGTTGGTGTATCTGCGAAGAAGGCCACCATTTCATCTCCCTCAGCTTACTCCGTCCACCCCCAACGGAGCCCCTGTGACATGAGGGCAAAGCCATTGTACAGGATCATGATTTTCAAGTGGTACCACACCTTATTGGTGTGCGTGTGTGTTTGCGTGCTATTCCTACTTTTTTTTTCACTGCCTTGGACACAGGACTTTTTTTTGGCAGAATTGAGGGCTGGGGAGGAGGGCTTTGGGTCTCCATTTGCAGTTTTCTTTCTGTCCCCAGTGCAGACAGGGGAAGCTCCTTTTATGCACCAGCATCTTGGAATCTGCATAGAGCCTTTTTCCCAAACTTGCCTCCTGTGCAGCCATTAGAGAGAGAAAGAAAAAAAGGAAATATATGTGTATATGTATAAATATATAGATATATTTGGCTTCCTAATGTATGTGCCCAACTATGCCATTGTCCATTCTAAATTTTTTGTTTCTGCTATAAATCGGTCCCTTAGCAATGCAATTATTATTATTATTATTGTTGTTGTTGTTGTTATTCTTTTTTACTGGGGTAGATGGAATATTTTAAGCCCTCCAACTACGTGTTATCTTTGGTGATAGAGATAAAGAATGAGCAAATCTTTCTGCCAGATCTACTCTGTAGGTGACACTCTCCTGGAGGAACATCTTTCCTTTTCTCCGTCAGTCATTCTTCCCCCTTCCCTGTCAGGTTCCATCAGTGTGTGGGCTCAGGGTAAAATCAGCCCAACAGAGCATTTTAAGCCAAAGTGACTGAGATGGAAAGATCAAACTACTATATTTTACATAACATCTCCTGACATTCAGATTCTGCGATTGACTCATTTTCACGGAAGAGATTTTAATGAGCTTAGCAAACAAGACAGGTAATTTACTTTTGCATGCATGGTGGTGATGGTGGTGGTGGTAGTGGTGGTGGTGGTAAAGAGGGGAACAAAATGACCTGTTTTCAATGCAATCTTGAAAACTGTAATTTAGTCTCTTTTCTAGGGTGCCGTATCAGTCCGTTACAATTAATTCTCGTTTTGCATAGTCTGATTAGTGAATTCTCATCAACTGTAACATTTCTCTGTAACATTTCTCATTGTACTTTTCCAAGCTCGGTTGGGAGCTCAGAAATACTTCATTAAATTCTGTCATGGGGTTTTTCTGGGTGCATTCTCATCTACATCCTAAATCCAAAAGCTTTCTCTTGCTTGGTACCTTTCTTTCTTTCCTGTTTTGGGGTAACTGAACACTCACCTAGCTGGGTTTGGGAGCCTGCTTTGTCTTCTTGGAGCATGCCCCTACCTTCCCTCTCCTCCCTCCATCCCACGACACCCCACCCTGCAATCTGGCCCCACTCCAAGCTTTCTTCCCCTCCTCCTCCTCCTCCTCCTTCCCGGTCACCACAGTTAGCTGTCTGTTCGTAAGACGGGGTCAACTCATCTGTGGAATCTTCCTGCCGTAGGAAAGTGAGAATCTTCACACTATGCAGATATAAGGGTCTCAAAACAAAAAACAAAAACAACCTTTCCTATGAGTGACAGTGGAGGTAGGCTCGGAAGCAGATGTGAGCCTCTGGGACCACAGGTGGGTGGTCCAGGGATCAGGGAATCCCCCTTCTGAAATCCCCATGGAGTCAGAGTTCAGGATCTTATTTGACAGTTTACTTTTGACTTTCTGTGTGATGTCAGACAAGTCACATGCCCTCTCTGGGCCTGTTTTCATGCCAGCATAGCTAGGGGACTAAGCTACCCAATCTGTGAGAATCCTTCCAGGTCTAACATTCCGAGACACACAGTGTCATGAAATCCAAGCCCCTCACTTTACAGTTAAGGAATGGAAACTCAGAGAGATTAAGTGACTCATGACTCGAGGTCACTGACTCCAAATCTAATGCTCTTTCCAGTATGACACCCCCTTGATCCTATGCACCCAATGGTGGCCGCTCTAAGGAAAGGAGTGTCCAGTGACCAGTGCTCCCCTGTGTATGCAGGCAGAGGTTCAGAGTGAATGGTACCTGCCTAGACCTTCAAGATGGAGGCAGACGTGGAAGAAAGCTCTGCATTAACTTGAATTTCAATTCAGGGATTCCTCAGAGCCAGAAGGGACCGTTAATATCATTTGCTATGAACCCGTCCTTTTTGCACAGGAGGAAACTGAGTGAGGAAGTGACTTCTTCAGGGCCAGACCCCTAATGTATGCCAGAGCCAGGATTTGGTGCTTTGTTTGGGTTTGATCCTTCTGGATAAATACCCTTTTCTACAGGGTGACATTCCTTTCCCTCTGAAGTGGTACTGGATCCCGGTGCTGAATAAAAATGCTTGGAAAGTGCTTTAGAGGATGCAAATAGATCTCTTTTGATTCCCTCCTGGTTAGTCACTTCAAAAGAAGAGCTGTGGGGGCCCTTGGAAGCCTCACCCCAGCAGGGTCCCCTCTCACTGGCTTGCTCCATTGGAGAGAAGTCTGCACTCCAATGAAATGGGAAGCAGATAGCACGGAAGGACAATTGAAAGGGAAACCACGCTGCCTCCCTTCCTTGGCTAGGCCCCCTGCCTCAGTCCCCCCTACATCAGAAGCCCAAACCAGAAACATTCCACATTATAGCACTTTAATTCACGAGACCTGAAAGTTTGTTTCAATAGCAGCCTGCTCATGGTAATTCATACCCATGGTACTAGATGTATAAGGCAGCTATTTCTCACTCCCCAAAGACAGCCAGGGCCAAGTGTCAAGTATAATGGAAAAGACTGATCCCTTATTGACGATTCTAAAAGGACCCCCCGCCTTCCGCAGTGAGAGAAAAGCCAAGAGAGACATATCCAGGTGTGATTATTATGCCAGATGTGAGATCATCCAGTGTATTAGGGGACTGAGCCAGAAATGTTATCTCCTGGAATCCATTCCAGCCCAGCATATGCTTACTGTATATCAGTGGAGGGTAGGGGGGCTCCTTTTCCCTCTCACACTTCCTCCATCCTCACATCTCCAACTCTCATCTCGAAGGGGCCTGAAGCAGGGTTTCAGATGGGGTCTTCTTCAGGTGGGAGAAAATGGCTGCTGGGGTGAAGGCCCCAAGGAAGATGTCTACAACACACTCCTAAATTTAGATCTTAGAACTCTCATTTTTCAGATAAGGAGATTTAGGCCTAGAGAAGTGGCTTGCCCCGGGGGTCATACCAACCTCTTCTGGGCCCCAGAAAGCACCAGAATGCCCTGAAAGGGGCAAAGGCCGAGAACACTGATGCCCCTTTCTGTGCCAGTGGGGTGGGGAGGGAGAAAGGAAGGAAGGAGGGAAGGGGGTCAGGAAGGAGGAGGGCTATCTGCAAAACTTCATCTAGGGGCCTGGAATCTCAGCCCTGGGACCTCTTATTAACCCACTTAGTGGTGTCCAAGGAGCAATTCACATTTTGGAAAGCAGCCCCACACTGATGGCCTCTCCTTGAGCTATTTCCTGGCTTCTCCTTAGTGGTGAAGGGTTGGGCAGGGGGGAGCTGATTTTATGGGCCTGATTCCCTGGCTTGGTCTGGGAAGCATTTGCTGCTTCCTTGCAAGGCTGGCCTAGGATACTGACACCCTAGCCTTCCTGGCCCCCGTTCATGGGTGTTTTCTTAGATGGAAGAAATCTGGCCTCTCTGGGCCCTCTTCTCCATCTCCCAAACCCCTTCCTAGCTATAGCCTGAGTGAGATGCTTAACACATAAAGGACTGAGAAGTAGACCATGGAATCTGAAGCTGAAAGAAAGACCTTGGAGATCATTTGATTGATACTCTAGCTGTATAGAGGAGGAAGTGGAGATTGGGAGAGCAGAAGTCACTTGCCCAAGGTCACAGAGCCAGTAGGTAGCCAAGCTGGGATTTGAACCCAGATTCCTCTGACTCCATATGCAGAGACTTTCTTACTATGCCATAGTTATTCACTTCTTGTCTCTTTTGTCCCCACAGTTGACTGGACAGAATGGACTATTATGCTGGAAAACCAGCTGCCCCTAGTTTGGTGAGGGGGAGCTGAAGGAAGAGGTCCCTAGGATGAGTCCCTAATCACAGAGCCACTCCAAAAGCCATTCCAAAAGAGCACTGGCCTCAGTGTCCTGAAGATCTCCTACTTGCTGACTGTATGGGCAAATCACTTCTCTCTGGCTCTCAGCTTCTCTTGCTGTCAAATGAGGAAAGGAGGGGAGCTTGACAAGGTCAGGAGTTCTTTGTCATAGGGATCATAGACCCCTTTGGCATCTGGTGGACCCTTTCTACGGACCCTTTCTCAGAATAATATTTGTTACCTACATTCATAATCCAAGAAAATGCTAAATTTCAGTTAGAAGCTAGTGAAAATAAAGGTAGAAGTTTGTCCCATCCAAGTTCACGAACCCTTCTGAAATCTTAATAAGAATCCCTGGACTTGATGACCTCTTTGGGCCCCTTTTCTGTGTTGTATTCCATGAGTCTCCTCTAACTTTGTAGCAATGGGGGGGGGTGGGGGGAGATCAGTGACAAACACAGTATG